TGGGACTTCTCAGTCTCCAAAACTACGCAAAGTAATTTTTCTTCCATATATTCTGTTTCTCTGGAGAAATCTAATACAAATTTAGTGCTGCTTTTCATACCCGCATTCGTGCTAAATAAATCGGATTTTAATGATGACATTTCTGTATTGATTCTGAGATTTCTGCAATTGGCTGTTTAATCTGATTAGATGGAATGATGTTAATGACTCCAGTTCCATTAGGAAAGAGAGCACCGATAGTCCATGTCCTGAACTGTTTATCAAGATATACCCATTGGTATATCTGCATCGGGTACTTCTAATCAATCGCTTATAAGAAACATAAGTGATCTGTGTATGATGACTGTGAACACTTTTGGAACCCTTAGGAACATCATTGGTTGCTTGCTCCTAATGTTGCGGGATAATGTGCTAAGAGACAAAGAGGAGCTCAGGGATTTCAATCCTCAGCTCAAGAGACCTATGGATGGCGTAGAGCTTCTAGGTGCGCTCCGAGGGAAAGCCTTAAGTCATGTCGCAGTTGGACTGAAATTGCTGAAAATCAGAGGCAGGACCTCATCTTTTCATGGGCTAAAGTAGAATGGGATCCTACAAATTGAGATGGGAATGTATGGGAAGACCCTGATGAAGCTGGGAATATGGAGTCTCAATTCTGATGAGTCGTCTTGGCCAGTAGAAGAGGCCGCCAGCCCTGCTCCCCTACTGCAGCAGAAGTAGCCTCCTCACGCACCCACTGGTATAGGCCTTCCCACCTCTGTCTGAGGGGATTATCCTGCATCACCTGAAGAGGTGTGACCACCCTGAGGCAGTTGCTAGGCAAGGCAATGCTGATGAGCCTCAGGACTCATTACTCCACCCTGTGTGCTACGAAATCTATCATTAGACACAAGTCCTAGCAAGTCCCTCCAAAGTTGTGGTACAGTGTGACCACGTCTAATTCCTGTAGCTCAGAGGGACAACATTGCTCACAGAACCAGCCCCTTACTGTCTGCAGACTGATATCAAAATCCTTCCTTAACACTCCCTGGGCTCGACACGTGTGTGGACCAAACTGGATTCAGATCTCCACAAATGATGTGGGAATGAAAACCAAGACATTTTTCTTTCCCATCCTTCCCTCTTAATTCCCTGTTCCTTCCTTCCTCCTTCCCTCTTGCCCTCCTTCCTTCTTTCCTTCCTTCCTTCCTCTCTCCCTCTCTCTTTCATTCCATAACAGCAAGTTTTGGGGTGATTACTGCAGGAACAGATTCTGAAGTTTCTCAGTATCTCCCTCATCTCTAATACCTGAGCGATTCTACTGGAAGCAGCCCTGCAAGTGAACAGTCTTCCCATGCTAGTGGGGTCTCTCCAAGTAGCGTCTTAGTTGTTCTTCAAGTATGTGTTGGATGTGGCCCGCATTCCTAAGGGATCCCCAACCATGCAATTTTCATGATGATCCAACTCCTTTCTAGCTGCAATCCCTGTTACAATGAATCACAAAATATTAATACAAATACACATCACTATCAGGCCAAGAATTCTTTGACCACTGACTGAAGCTGGGCTTAGGTGCCCACAGAGGTGGTGCTGTGACCTCATCATCTGAGGTGGTGAGAACCATCCCAACCTTAGCCCTGAATGTGCCAGGTCTTGGAAATGACCTCTCTCTATCCCATCAAATCAGAGTGGATGTTCATCCTACCTGGAGGTTACATCTTTGTAGTAATGTTGTCTGTTTAAGTTACTTGTTGACATTTTTTCCCATTATGGCACCTGTTTCCCATCAAGAGTCAGAGCCTTCATGCTTCCATCATCCAGGCTGAAACAGTGACCCAGGTGACCCTTCCCCAGCTGGGTCACAGCACAGTGGGAAGAGGGGTCTTTGCTATTGGAGACACAGGATAAGGTCTTGCCTGAGTCTCAGCCCTGAGTCTGTGGAATGCTGGTCATACGATGAGCTTGCCTTAGGGGGAGTGTGTGTGTGTGTGACAAGATCCTTTGTGTTGAACAGCAGTAGAAAGCAGAGTGACAAGTGTTGTGATGATCCTCCGTGGCATCTGACGTATGTCCTGCTCCCTGGCTCCAACAGCATGTCCAGTAGTTTACAAGGTGTCTCAATGTGATAGGAAGGTAGGAGCCCCCACTTACTCTTCCGGTGTTCTTTCTCTAAGGTGGCAACACAATTTCCTTTTACAGAATTCAGTCACTATTTTATAAGAGAGACTCTGACAACAAGAGCCAACGGGTCGATGCTGAATGAACAGGGTCTCTCCGAAGCAGAAAGCGCCCTTTGTTTCTTGTGTATTTGGAGTCTCCAATTGAAGGGACAGCCCTGGGTGCTTTCTCAAATCATGCACCACATTAACTGTGTCAGGCTTTTTCCCGATGCAGAAAGGAGGGTCATTTTTAATGGAAGAGATTAAACATTTTCTACTTGTCATCGTGGTCATGATATCTGCCAATGTGTTCCTGTAGATACACTCAGGGACTCAGCACCGCAGGACAATGACCTTTCATGGACCCATACAGTGTCTGTGTCAGGAGCCACTCTTTTTACATTGTGCCTCTTCTGGATATTTAATCTTTTCTTTCTTATTTGCAAGTGTTTTTCTTTCTTTATCCCCTTCCGGGGACTAATTGTTCACTGACTTTAGAGAAAGGGGAAGGAAGAGAAGTAGGGAGAAAGAGAAACATCAATGGGAGAGAGAAGCATCAATTGGTTGCTTCTTGTACATGCTCAAAGCAGGAACTGTAGGCCCCGGACCAGGGCTTACGCTGGCCTTTGACCCAGCCAGAGTCCTGACTGAAAATCGAACCCGTAACTCCTTGGTTACAGAATGAGCATGCAAACAAGTGAGCACACTTACCAGGCTTTGGTCATTTTAGAAGGACTTATCATATTTCATTTTGACCTGAAAGTATGCATTTAGGAATAAATATTTGTGTATTTTAATGTATTTGCTTGGTTTTATTGATCACTAATCATAGTTTTCAGTGTTCCTTTTGCTTACTGCGGGGTCTCATGCTTAGTTGATCCATGTCACATCTTGTCATGTGGGCACACACGTACGGAACGACACTAAATGACAACGGGGACCCGTGCAGCATGGGGGCTCTGAGTTGTCCCTGGTGCTAAGAGAACCAGGGATGAGGACGAGGCAGGACCTGGTGAAGACCAGAGTTTGGCTCCTTGCTGTGTAGCATGTGGATGCCTGGAACGTACCTAGGAGGCCCCTCCAAGGTTTCCCAGGAGACAAGGAAGAGTCTACTTGATCCACAGGTCCACCAGATGGATCTCTGAACAGGTCATTGGTTACACCATTTTATTATTATCTCACACTAGAGACTGTGTTCTGTAACCTGATATCATAACACATAAACGATTTTAGCACCCGCACTGAAAGAGTTGTCCCAAATAGAAGACCGTCACTTCCTCCCACATCCTATCCCCTCTCCCTCAATGCCTGAGGCTGTGTAAATAAATCTGCGCCATCCCTTGGCCAGAATGCCGCCTCCCTTTTCTCTTCACAATGACTGTGATGCTGAATGAACAGGGCACTATTGTAGTGTTCTCTGAGCATTTTAGTCCATAAAAACCTCTGGTCATTCCCGGAGGACATTTCCATTCCAACCCGACCAGGACCAGCCAGTCCTGATTAGTCTTTTCTCCAATCCAACTCCTTCCTAAAAAACACACAAGGCCAAGGATCGCTCTGCGGATGAGGGAGATTATGCTTCACGAAGTCACACAGCTCTCAGGGGAGGTCATTTCAATGTACCAGGGAGGGGGCACGATGAAGGTCATTGTGTGCCCCATGTGACGAAAGGACTCAGTCTGGGAACAAGTCCCAGAGTTAAGCTCTGTGCCAATCCTGCCTTATCACCCCCAGAAACTCAAGCACAAGATTTCCACTTCCTGATTTCCATGTGGTGGTCATCGGTCCTAATGAGCTCTGTCTCCCTCATGCTTATGTTGTATCTGAACATTGCGGGAAATCAGGCTGTCTTCCCTTTGTCCCATTTTTTTCATCCATTTTTTCTCCTGACATTGATTTTATTTCGCATGTAATGTTCCTCAGCCCACGCCAAGATCTACCTCTGGAGCACAAACCCAGTGACGGGAAGGCTCAGAGACAAGCTCAGTGGTTCTAAGGGGAGGGTCTGGGATTCCCTCGTTAGGCAGTTGAATTTCCGTTGAAAAGGAAGGTTAATGAGCTCAGAAGGATGTAAAGGTTATCTGGAGACCAGGGACTCAGCTGGATGGGAATAAGAAGAGGAGCAGAAGGGAGCAGGGCAGAGGTTTCCCTGGGCGCTTGGGTTGAATCATCTGAAGCCACCAGGGGGCAGCATCGTCTAAATTTGGAGAAGTCAGACTGGATTCCATGAACTGTGTGAAGTCTTACGGGGAGATTCCAATGAGTGGATGTTTGAGGGAAGGGGATGTCCTGCATGTGTTGTGTCCCAATATTTTTACTGCCACAACTGGCTAAAATGTCCATGAACCTAGACACTGTAGAGTTAGGGACAAGGCATACATGAGAATTCATTTCCACTGAAGAGCTTCAAAAAAGGGTTGAGAAAGAAAGAGAGATGCTGGCTTTGCCTGTGGCCCTTGGTTAATGGAGTCATTGGGTCTTTTTCTGGCCCACCTCATATGCTGTCCCCACCCTCCACCCATTGTCTCAGAAGGGAAGTTCCAGTATTGCTTAGTCAGGGAGCACCCTGATTCCTACCATAAGATGCACAGGGACAAACAGGTGGGCTCCATTTCCCAAGCACTCAGAAAGTGGTCTCAGTGTGTCCTGCATGAGACAATACCATGTGAGACATTTAAAATACTCTCAGATTAGCTGTGCTGTCCAGTGTGCAGAAGCATCTAGATCAAGGGTCAGGCCAGAGTTGGTTGAAGAGAGGCAGGTGAGGGAAGCAGATTTGCATGGAGGCCCCTCCCTCCCCTGAGGCAGGAAGAGGGGATAAGAGAGGTCTGGGGGAGCCAGGCTCAGGCTTGGGGTCTCAGGTTGCAGCTCTCCTGGGGGATCTCCACCATGGCCTGGGCTCTGCTCCTCCTCACCCTCCTCACTCAGGGCTCCGGTGAGGCCTCCAGGGAAGGGACCATGGGGACGTCTGGGCTGATACTCTGTGTCCTCCACATGCTCAGGTGGGCCCAGTAGTAAACTAGGCACTGAGTGTGTTTTTGCTCTTTTCAGGTTCCTGGGCCCAGGCTCCCCTGACTCAGCCGCCCTCAGTGTCTGGGGCTCTGGGCCAGTCGGTCACCATCACCTGTGCCGGAAGCAGCAATGATGTCGGTTATAGTAACAATGTTTCCTGGTACCAACAACAACCAGGCATGGCCCCCAAAATGCTGATATATGATGACAGTAACAGGCCTTCCGGGATCCCTGACCGCTTCTCTGGCAGCAAGTCCGGCAACACGGCCTCCCTGACCATCTCTGGGCTCCAGCCTGAGGACGAGGCGGATTATTACTGTGCTTCGTATAGGAAGCCTAACAGTATGCACAGTGGTGCAAGTTCATGGGGAAGTGAGACCAAAACCTGCCCTGTGTCTCAGGCTCCCTCCTTCTCTGAATCTGCTTCCCCAGCCTAAATAATGTGGGCTTCGTACACAGTGTCCCGGACAATCTCTCTCTCAGTGGCTCTCTCCTCTTCACTAGGACGTGCAGGACACAACACACTCTCTGATCTTTTGTTTGGGACAGTAAACGGTTTCCTCTTTGCATGTGGGTCATTGTCCCCGAGTATGTGACTCTTCCCACAGCCTGCAGTGGGGTAACAGGGAGAGCCTTTGTGACGCTTGGGACTGTTTTACTTTCTCAGGAACACCTTCCCTTTACATGCTGTGGTCTCCACACCCGTGCCTAACATGTTGATTTCGTTGCACACGAAGACCCTTGTCTTCTGCCGTCAGAGTCCCCCACGCTCTCTCGTCAGCATGGCCCTCCTCAGGGGTGATTCCTCCACACGCCTGTTGTTGAGAAAAGGTCAACTAGGGACAGGCAGGATGTTGTTGAGGGACTGAGGACAAAGGGTTAAACATTCTTTTCCTTTGCGGAAACCTCATTTGATGCCATATGCTAGGAAGCAGAGCAGTAAAGAATTTGAGCTGCCACTCTGTTTTATGTAGAATTTCCACCCCCTTTGGAGCAATGAATTCCTAACCTGGCAGGAACTTTGCACCATGCGGCCTCCCCATCACGCTGGGCTCTTTCCAAAATGGCTCTTTTTTCGACAAGGAGGCGATACTAGTGGGTGTGTCCCCATTTTCACAAGAATCCCCAACGTGTCCCTTTTCTGTGATGAACCAATGAAATAACTGTCTGGCACATGTATATTTCTAGCTCATATATGTTATGACAAGAACAGTTTCACGATCTGAATGACCTAGGCTTAGGCATCAGAAAATCGGGACTGCGACCAGTTCTTCCCATTTCGCCAGAATGTTCCCGGATTTAACGCTAAAGGTGCCAAATCTAAACAAGGTCCTCAATCTCAGGCAAATTAGGAGAGATTGTCACTGTGATGACTGACTGGATGGTGAACTTGAGTGGGTTATGGGGTGCCCAGTTTAACTTTGCCTGTGGGGGCGTCTGTGAGGGGGTCCCGGACGAGAGTGGCGTTTGAATTGGTGGGCTCAGCAGAGTCGATAGACTCCCCTCTCCATGTGGCTGGGCTCCTACCCCCCACTGAGACCTGAGTGAACAAAAGGTGAAGGAAGAAGGAATTCACCTCTCTTTTCTCACCGACTGAAGGGGGACATCTCATCCCACCTCCTCCCACCCGCATATGAAATGTACATGATCAGCTCTCCTGGGTCTCAGGCCCTAGTGCTGACACTGAATTGCGGCGCCAGCTTTACTGGCTCTCTGGCTTGCAGAGAGCACAGAGCGGAGAGCAGGGTGAGCAAAAGATATATACAGTGGTTCACAGGGAAAATAACACAAAAGTTTATGAATAATCCCCCCAGAATAAATTCTCCATTTCCCATACTCACAACTGTAGACCTAATTTGCCCTACCCTGTATACTTCCTGGGTCTCTGCACTCTGAGCCATGACACAGCCCAGGGACTGAAGCCAGCCTTGCCGTGCCCTTACCTCCTATTGTGGACGTCACAGTGGGGATGGCAAAGAAATCCTGGGACAGCCACCGATTGCTGTGTGGGAGACAGCGGAGGAGACCCACCCAGGCTGGCTGGGGTCAGGGAGATCCAATGACTGCCCTTCCCAGGCCCAAAGGCAGAGCGGGACGTCTGTCATTCTCCACCAAACCCTTTCATCCCCCTTTGTGGGGAGAAGTCTACTGAGACTCCTAGAAAAGGAGTGGTTGGGGCCCAGTAGATACTGAACACCGCTTTCTTCTTCCATATGAGCCCCACTGGGAGTGGCTCAGGGAGCAGCTACTGGGACTTCAAACAGCACAGGACAACAACCGAAATGACCTTTCCAAAGACAGGCCCTCCCTGGACCTGAGGGATCACGTGGTAAATGCCTAGTGCCGCGCTCTGCCCCTGCTCGTGTCCTCCCTCCCCCCTCCCAGCTCATTCCCAGGTCCCCTGGTCCCCGCTGAGCCAGTCCAAATTCCTTGATATCCCCCAGAGTGACTTCTGCCACTTGCAGTATTGGTGGTCCGGATGCACCCACTACGGTCACCTTGCTTAATACGGGAAGGCTCTATCCCAGGGCTGCGGGATGGGAGGTGGATGTCAGCTCAGGAAACGTTACACATGAAATTAATCCCACCCCAGGAAGTACACAGATGTGAAGAGTGGGCTCAGGAGAAGATGAAATTCTCAGAAGGGTTAGAAAGAATAATGCAACCAAGAGGGAGAGCTCAGTCAGGCGGGGGAATGGCCTAAAAGGAATCAAGAGGAAGAATCCAGTGTTTGAGGATGTGGGAGAAGGGAAGTGGGGTCAGATTTGTCCTTAGGACCCCAGAGCAGGTCTGTGTGTCACAGGGCACACAGGATGTCCTGAGTCTTGTCTCCTTGTGCACAGAGACTGACTCAGAACTGTGCCCCTTCCTGAGGCAAAGCCTCGTCCCCAGACAGACGCTTGACCTAGTGTGGTCTTCTTGAAGAAGACCAGCTTGGAGCAAAGACTACCACTGGGCCTCACAGATCCTTTAGAGAACGGAAATGGAAACATCCCTCTGAAAAAGGATCGGGTCCCCGCTGGAATACAAGGGTTCTGGTGAAACCGCTTTAGTGCCGCAGGTCAGCCCGTGTGGCAGGTGTCTCCAGGAGCTGTGAAGGCGCAGCCCTGGCTGAGATCCCGGGAGGAGCATAGTGGTGGCCTCTGGGGAGAAAGGACAAGTGCGGGTGAAGAAGTGACAGCGTGGGGTTTGAGGCTCTAGTTTCTGTGTGTTTCAAACATTCACGTGCTGTATTATTTCGGGCTCTGTTTAGACAGTGCTATCTGTTTAGTGAGGTACTAATGCAATGGTAACTGGTTGATGGCCTTCTTGTCATACCTCCGCTAGGCCTCTGAGACCAGGTTCAGAGCCCAGTAGCCGTTCGGGTCCCCATCTCTCGGGATCACATTGGAGGCTCCTCCTGCGACCGCTCCAGGCGGCCAGGCGTCCAGGCGCTAGCGCGAGAAGGACAGCGCTGCCCTGCAGGAGGAGCTGCCTTGATCGGTTCCGCCTCCTGCTACTACCAGGAGCTTGCCAAGGACCCCTGTGATATAGGAATCGCATGTTTATGTAAAACTCCTCTAGAATTCTGTGCTCAAACAATAAGATATGACAGAAATAATAAGCATGACAGCCACGGAAAGGAGGCAAACTTACCCTTTACACATAATATGATTAATAACCAATAAAACAAAGCATATCTTTTTAGAAACAAAAATGAGTTCCTGGGTTCTTACCTTGTGTAATGAACTGAATAGAGTGATTCCTTAAACGATAGCATCTTTTGAAGGAAAGAGAGATAAGATATGCAGAAGAGATATAATGACACCTGACTCCGGAATTTAATGGACTCCGGAATGGTAACTGTCCTGAGATGCTGATTCCCTCATTGCACTGAATAATAAAAACGTCGGTTTATATAATGACCATGGGGACATCTGAAACATTTTACATGATTTCTCTTGAGAGGGACTTTTTCTCCTTTAAAAAAATTTAACTATTTATAGAGTTTAATTATTTGAGAAAATTCAGGAGGCTGCTCATACAGCTCAATACTCCCCATACAAGACAGAAGAGCTCTCTGCTCCAGAAATCTCCTGTTGAAACGATTCTGTTAATTCAGTATCTAGTTTCTGGTTTCCTTGGGAATCCTTCATCTGGCAAAGAGAGTAACTACTTTCTCTGAAGGACACTGTGTCCCCACTTTATAGGGAGACACACCGGAAGAGGCAATGGTGGCCTCCTGGCCTCTTCTGTCATGTGAAAGTGTTCTAAAGGTCCCATGGATGTCATTTCAGTCAGGGAGCAGGCCTCACATTAGCTGCCACAGCGGCACCCAGACAGTGTTCCTTTCACCCTCTTCCTTTTGGTCCACAAAGACTCTCCCTCAGAGGCGGGTGCGACCTTGGACCAGGCCCGCGCAGGCAAGGGGCCGTGACTCAGGACACTGTTCTGACCCGTGCTGACCCAGAGACCCGTCCCAGTGTGCTGGGACCCAGCTGCTGAGGCTCCCATGTGAGACACTGCTCGAGCCTAGATGCTGTGAGCGTGAAGGTATTGACTGTTTACTAGAGGAAGACAGGATACCTGGTAAGACAGTTTAAAAAATAATCGATGGTGCGCGTATTATGAGAAGATCGAGCTGTTTGGGAAGGTGACTGTGTTAGTCAGGTTTCTTCAAAGAACAAAACCAAGAGAAATATGTATATATCCGCATCCCAGGCATCCTGTCTTGGGGTGGCACATTCTGCTTCCCCTCAATAGAAATCTTCGTTTTATGCGTATATAACAGAATGAGAGGAAGGGGGCGCCCTCCACCCACAGGTGAGAGAACCCACCTCAGCTCTCTGCACATGTGGATTCCCGACATGGGTCACAACTACAGTTGACTCTTGTGTGTGCATTTGAACTGCACGAGTCTGCTTAAAGGCAGATTTTTAAGTGTTTTTAGAGATGCATTATATGTACATATCAATATGCATACATAAACAGTGGAGTAGAAGTTTATAGCTGTTCATATGGAATATAATGCAATAATGAGTAAATAATAATATGAGAGTAAACTCTGTGTCTCATGAATCATAATGATCAACGAGCTTTAACGCCTCAGTAAGTTCCGCTCCCCAGGGCTGCATGTGTACCTAGAGCCCAAGACCAGGCCACAGTGGGGTGAGGAGAGGCAGGTGCAGGAGCAGATTTGCATGGAGGCCCCTCCCTCCCCTGAGGCAGGAAGAGGGGATAAGAGAGGTCTGGGGGAGCCAGGCTCAGGCTTGGGGTCTCAGGTTGCAGCTCTCCTGGGGGATCTCCACCATGGCCTGGGCTCTGCTCCTCCTCACCCTCCTCACTCAGGGCTCCGGTGAGGCCTCCAGGGAAGGGACCATGGGGACGTCTGGGCTGATTCTCTGTGTCCTCCTCAGGGTCAGGCGGGCCCAGTACTAAACTAGGCACTGAGTGTGTTTTTGCTCTTTTCAGGTTCCTGGGCCCAGGCTCCCCTGACCCAGCCGCCCTCAGTGTCTGGGTCTCTGGGCCAGTCGGTCACCATCACCTGTGCCGGAAGCAGCAATGATGTCGGTTATGGTAGCTATGTCTCCTGGTACCAACAACAACCAGGCATGGCCCCCAAAATGCTGATATATGCTGACAGTAACAGGCCTTCCGGGATCCCTGACCGCTTCTCTGGCAGCAAGTCCGGCAACACGGCCTCCCTGACCATCTCTGGGCTCCAGCCTGAGGACGAGGCGGATTATTACTGTAGTTCATATAGGAGTGGTGGCAGTAACCACAGTGGTGCTAGTTCGTGGGGAAGTGAGACCAAAACCTCCCCTCTGCTCACAGGCTCTCTCCTTGCTCTGAGGATGCTTCCCCACCCTGAGCAGAGGCGGCTTCATGCAGCACGGCTAGACTTCACTTCCCTCTCAACTCCTCTCCCGGCCACAACAGGAAATATTGTCTTGGGTTTATTGTCTTGAGACTATGACCGCTGCCTCTTCCACTGTGTGATGTGGTCCCTGAATGTGTCACTGCTTCCAGCTTGCGACAGCAGTGCGATGGTAAATACTCTGTGCTAAATGCTATGTGTTAACTTGGCTGCACAAGGGATGCCCAGAGAGCTGGCAACACATTCCTTCTTGGTTCCTGTGAAGATGTCTCTGGAAGGGATTAACACTTGAATCTGCACACTGACTGACCCAGATCACTCTTGCCAGTCCTGCTGGACAGCATCTCACACCTGAGGGCCTGCACTGAACAGAAGGTGGAGGAAGGGGGAATTTCCTCTCTCTGCTTAATCACGGGTAGCTGTCTTTTCCTGTCTTTGGGCACTGGCACTGTGGTTCCTCCCTTTTGGGACTGCTACCAGAGCTGACACTGCCAGCCCTCAATTCTCCCTTCTTTCAACGCTGACTGACTTGTACCACTGCCTCTCCGGGGTCTCCAGCTTGCAGTGGATTGTGGGACTTCTCAGTCTCCAAAACTACGCAAAGTAATTTTTCTTCCATATATTCTGTTTCTCTGGAGAAATCTAATACAAATTTAGTGCTGATTTTCGTACCCGCATTCATTCTAAATAAATAGGATTTTAATGATGACATTTCTGTATTGATTCTGAGATTTCTGCAATTGGCTGTTTAATCTGATTAGATGGAATGATGTTAATGACTCCAGTTCCATTAGGAAAGAGAGCACCGATAGTCCATGTCCTGAACTGTTTATCAAGATATACCCATTGGTATATCTGCATTGCGTACTTCTAATCAATCGCTTATAAGAAACATAAGTGATCTGTGTTTGATGACTGTGAACACTTTTGGAACCCTTAGGAACATCATTGGTTGCTTGCTCCTAATGTTGCGGGACAATGTGCTGAGAGACAAAGAGGAGCTCAGGGATTTCAATTCTCAGCTCAAGAGACCTATGGATGGCGTAGAGCTTCTAGGTGCGCTCTGAGGGAAAGCCTTAAGTCATGTCGCAGTTGGACTGAAATTGCTGAAAATCAGAGGCAGGACCTCATCTTTTCATGGGCTAAAGTAGAATGGGATCCTACAAATTGAGATGGGAATGTATGGGAAGACCCTGATGAAGCTGGGAATATGGAGTCTCAATTCTGATGAGTCGTCCTGGCCAGGAGAAGAGGCCGCCAGCCCTGCTCCCCTACTGCAGCAGAAGTAGCCTCCTCACGCACCCACTGGTATAGGCCTTCCCACCTCTGTCTGAGGGGATTATCCTGCATCACCTGAAGAGGTGTGACCACCCTGAGGCAGTTGCTAGGCAAGGCAATGCTGATGAGCCTCAGGACTCATTACTCCACCCTGTTTGCTACGAAATCTATCATTAGACACAAGCCCTAGCAAGTCCCTCCAAAGTTGTGGTACGGTGTGACCACGTCTAATTCCTGTAGGTCAGAGGGACAGCATTGTTCACAGAACCAGCACCTTACTGTGTCTGCAGGCTGATATCAAAATCCTCCCTTAACACTCCCTGGGCTCCCACACGTGTGTGGACCAAACGGGATTCAGATCTCCACAAATGATGTGGGAATGAAAACCAAGACATTTTTCTTTCCCATCTTTCCCCCTTAGTTCCCTGTTCCTTCCTTCCTCCTTCCCTCTTGCCCTTCCTTCCTTCTTTCCTTCCTTCCTTCTTCTCTCCCTCTCTCTTTCTTCCCATGCTTCCTCTCTCTTTCATCCCATAACAGCAAGTTTTGGGGTGATTACTGCAGGAACAGATTCTGTGGTTTCTCAGTATCTCCCTCATCTCCAATACCTGAGCGATTCTACTGGAAGCAGCCCTGCAAGTGAACAGTCTTCCCATGTTAGTGGGGTTTCTCCAAGTAACATCTTAGTTGTTCTTCAAGTATGTGTTGGATGTGGCCCGCGTTCCTAAGGGATCCCCAACACATGCAATTTTCATGATGATCCAACTCCTTTCTAGCTGCAATCCCTGTTACAATGAATCACAAAATATTAATACAAATACACATCACTATCAGGCCAAGAATTCTTTGACCACTGACTGAAGCTGGGCTTAGGTGCCCACAGAGGTGGTGCAGTGACCTCATCCTCTGAGGTGGTGAGAACCATCCCAACCTTAGCCCTGAATGTGCCAGGTCTTGGAAATGACCTCTCTCTATCCCATCAAATCAAGGTGGATGTGCATCGTATCTGGAGGTTACATCTTTGTGGTAATGTTCTGTGTTTAAGTTACTTGTTGACATTTTTTCCCATTATGGCACCTGTTTCCCATCAAGAGTCAGAGCCTTCATGCTTCCATCATCCAGGCTGAAACAGTGACCCAGGTGACCCTTCCCCAGCTGGGTCACAGCACAGTGGGAAGGGGCCTTTGCTATTGGAGACACAGGATAAGGTCTTGCCTGAGTCTCAGCCCTGAGTCTGTGGAATGCTGGTCATACGGTGAGCTTGCCTTAGGGGGTGTGTGTGTGACAACGTCCTTTGTGTTGAACAGCAGTAGAAAGCAGAGTGACAAGTGTTGTGATGATCCTCCGTGGCATCTGACGTATGTCCTGCTCCCTGGCTCCAACAGCATGTCCAGTAGTTTACAAGGTGTCTCGATGTGATAGGAAGGTAGGAGCCCCCACGTACTCTTCCCGTGTTCTTTCTCTAAGGTGGCAACACAATTTCCTTTTACAGAATTCAGTCACTATTTTATAAGAGAGACTCTGACAACAAGAGCCAATGGTTCGATGCTGAATGAACAGGGTCTCTCCGAAGCAGAAAGCGCCCTTTGTTTCTTGTGTATTTGGAGTCTCCAATTGAAGGGACAGCCCTGGGTGCTTTCTCAAATCATGCACCACATTAGCTGTGTCAGGCTTTTTCCCGATGCAGAAAGGAGGGTCATTTTTAATGGAAGAGATTAAACATTTTGTACTTGTCATCGTGGTCATGATATCTGCCAATGTGTTCCTGTAGATACACTCAGGGACTCAGCACCGCAGGACAATGACCTTTCATGGACCCATACAGTGTCTGTGTCAGGAGCCACTCTTTTTACATTGTGCCTCTTCTGGATATTTAATCTTTTCTTTCTTATTTGCAAGTGTTTTTCTTTCTTTATCCCCTTCCGGGGACTCATTTTTCACTGACTTTAGAGAAAGGGGAAGGAAGAGAAGTAGGGAGAAAGAGAAACATCAATGGGAGAGAGAAGCATCAATTGGTTGCTTCTTGTACATGCTCAAAGCAGGAACTGTAGGCCCCGGACCAGGGCTTACACTGGCCTTTGACCCAGCCAGAGTCCTGACTGAAAATCGAACCCGTAACTCTTTGGTTACAGAATGAGCATGCAAACAAGTGAGCACACTTACCAGGCTTTGGTCATTTTATAAGGACTTATCATATTTCATTTTGACCTGAAAGTATGCATTTAGGAATAAATATTTGTGTATTTTAATGTATTTGCTTGGTTTTATTGATCACTAATCATAGTTTTCAGTGTCCCTTTTGCTTACTGCAGGGTCTCATGCTTAGTTGATCCATGTCACATCTTGTCATGTGGGCACACACGTACGGAACGACACTAAATGACAACGGGGACCCGTGCAGCATGGGGACTCTGAGTTGTCCCTGGTGCTAAGAGAACCAGGGATGAGGACGAGGCAGGACCTGGTGAAGATCAGAGGTTGGCTCCTTGCTGTGTAGCATGTGGATGCCTGGAACGTACCTAGGAGGCCCCTCCAAGGTGTCCCAGGAGACAAGGAAGAGTCTACTTGATTCACAGGTCCACCAGATGGATCTCTGAACAGGTCATTGGTTACACCATTTTATTATTATCTCACACTAGAGAGTGTGTTCTGTAACCTGATATCATAACACATAAATGATTTTACCACCCGCACTGAAAGAGTTGTACCAAATAGAAGACCGTCACTTCCTCCCACATCCTATCCCCTCTCCCTCAATGCCTGAGGCTGTGTAAATAAATCTGCGCCATCCCTTGGCCAGAATGCCGCCTCACTTTTCTCTTCACAATGTCTGTGATGCAGAATGAACAGGGCACTATTGTAGTGTTCTCTGAGCATTTTAGTCCAAAAAAATCTCTGGTCATTCCCGGAGGACATTTCCATTCCAACCCGACCAGGACCAGCCAGTCCTGATTAGTCTTTTCTCCAATCCAACTCCTTCCTAAAAAACACACAAGGCCAAGGATCGCTCTGCGGATGAGGGAGATTATGCTTCACGAAGTCACACAGCTCTCAGGGGAGGCCATTTCAATGTACCAGGGAGGGGGCACGATGAAGGTCATTGTGTGCCCCATGTGATGAAAGGACTCAGTCTGGGAACAAGTCCCAGAGTTAAGCTCTGTGCCAGTCCTGCCTTATCACCCCCAGAAACTCAAGCACAAGATTTCCACTTCCTGATTTCCATGTGGTGGTCATCGGTCCTAATGAGCTCTGTCTCCCTCATGCTTATGTTGTATCTGAACATTCTGGGAAATCAGGCTGTCTTCCCTTTGTCCCATTTTTTTCATCCATTTTTTCTCCTGACATTGATTTTATTTCGCATGTAATGTTCCTCAGCCCATGCCAAGATCTACCTCTGGAGCACAAACCCAGTGACGGGAAGGCTCAGAGACAAGCTCAGTGGTTCTAAGGGGAGGGTCTGGGATTCCCTCGTTAGGCAGTTGAATTTCCGTTGAAAAGGAAGGTTAGTGAGCTCAGAAGGATGTAAAGGTTATCTGGAGACCAGGGACTCAGCTGGATGGGAATAAGAAGAGGAGGAGAAGGGAGCAGGGCAGAGCTTTCCCTGGGCGCATGGGTTGAATCATCTGTAGCCACCAGGGGGCAGCATCGTCTAAATTTGGAGATGTCAGACTGGATTCCATGAACTGTGTGAAGTCTTACGGGGAGATTCCAAAGAGTGGATGTTTGAGGGAAGGAGATGTCCTGCATGTGTTGTGTCCCAATATTTTTACTGCCACAACTGGCTAAAATGTCCATGAACCTAGACACATGTAGAGTTAGGGACAAGGCATACATGAGAATTCATTTCCACTGAAGAGCTTCAAAAAAGGGTTGAGAAAGAAAGAGAGATGCTGGCTTTGCCTGTGGCCCTTGGTTAATGGAGTCATTGGGTCCTTTTCTGGCCCCCCTCATATGCTGTCCCCCCCCTCCACCCATTGTCTCAGAAGGGAAGTCCCAGTATTGCTCAGCCGGGAAGCACCCTGATTCCTACCATAGGAGGCACAGGGACAAACAGGTGGGCTCCATTTCCCAAGCACTCAGAAAGTGGTCTCAGTGTGTCCTGCGTGAGACAATACCATGTGAGACATTTAAAATACTCTCAGATTAGCTGTGCTGTCCAGTGTGCAGAAGCATCTAGATCAAGGGTCAGGCCAGAGTTGGTTGAAGAGAGG